TATTAGTTCCAAACGGACTGAAAACTAAATGTACTAGTAGATACTTGTTTTGTATATCATAATATAAAACTCAGTATACTTTGACATTGATATTGAGGTAAAATCTTTTTGGGAAATAGGTATGAAGTTTGGAAAACATGCAATTTAACGAATCAAAGTTCACTGAACTGCAGCATATAGTAGTAAATCAGACTTTTCTCCAGTTACTCCTCAAAGGAATAATGTGTCTTAAATATGTTTGATGGAGGACTTTGCTTTTTATGGAAATCAGTGAAATTAATAACCATGATCAGCCTTTACTGTTACAATCCTTAGAAAATGACATAGTGATTTAGAGGCTAAATTGTATTGAGACCATTTATCCATAGATGTTATTTTATCTACATAGTGTCATTCATTTCTATGTAAATAACTTTAATAACTTACTTTGTATTGATTTTAAGCACAGTGGATATTGCAATAAAATATTTTAGTAAAATGTGGTTTTGTTAATACTTTATAGCCATTATTTGTTCCATAGTAGACTATATTTTGTTTATCCATTCATCTGTTGATGGACATTTGGGTTGCTTCCACCTCTTGGCTATTGTGAATGATGTTCCTATGAGCATGAATGTGCAAATATCTCTTTAAGACCCTACTCTCAATTCTTCTGGGTATTTACCCAGAAGTGGGATTTCTGGATCATATGGTTCTGTTATTAAGTTTTAGAGGACCTTCCAAACTGATTTTCATAGTGGTTATACCATTTTACAATCCAACAGTGCACATGGGCTCTAATTCCTTTGCATCCTTGCTAATACTAGTTATTTTGTTTTGTTTTTTGTGAGTAGCCATTCTAATGGCTTTGAGGTGACATCTTGTGATTTTGATTTGCATTTCAGTGATTAGTGAACTTCATATTCTTGTTGGCCTTATGTAAATCATCTTTGGTGTAAGATCTATACAAGACCTTTGCCTATTTAAAAAAAAAATTGTATTGAGCCCAGCTAGTGTTGTTCAGTGGTTAGGCATCCATCAATGAACCAGGAGGTCACAGTTACATTCCTCATTAGGGCGCATGCCCAGATTTCAGGCTCGATCTCCAGTAAGGGGCATGTAGGAGGCAACTGATTAATGATTCTCATCATTGATGTTTCTACCTCTCCCTCACCTTTCCTCTCTGAAATCAATAAAATTATATTTTAAAAAAAACAAAAAATTCCCTACAAACTAAAGCCCTGGACCAGGTGGCTTCACAGGTGAATTTTGCCAAAACCAGGTAATGACTAGAAAGAAAAAAATTGGCCAATATCCCTGAGGAACATAGATGATGAATTCCTCAACAAAATATTAGCAAACTGGATCCGGTAATATGTTGAAAAGATTATACACCATGATCAATTGGGATTTATTCCAGGGATGCAAGGTTGGTACAATATCCATAGCATTTTTGCTGTTATGTTGGGAAGACACTAATTTTCAAGTTTCATTTTAACTGGTAATATAATTGATGTCTTCAAATTTGTTTAGAAAAAAAAATAGCATTTCCTTCTGAAAAGAAATAATTCATTTTCTTTAGTAAATCTATAGTGCTATATTTATGTAGGAAATTAGGGCAGAAATATGCATCAGTATATTAGATATATTTTCAGTAATATAAGATTTTCAGTAACATCATTTTGTGTTCCTCCAACATAAATGTAGCTCAATAGTGGAAGGCAGAAAACTAATTATGAAGTCTCTTCTAAGTCCACGCTAGGCCTGAAGCCAACAGGTAGAGAGTCAATGTCTAAAATGTTAAAAAAAAAAAAAAAATTTATATATATATATATATATATATTTAAATGTGGGAATGGGACAAATGCTTTTCAAAATGTGACAGAATATGATGTTATTTCTAATAGGGAGATATAATAACTGCATTTTGGGAAACTAGTGAATGTGTATAATAAGGCTGCATCTCTGGTGACTCTTCCTTTTATTAGCCCAGGATTTCATCCAAAGAAAATTTGAGGCTGAACAGATGTGGCCTTCTAAAAATACAAAGTGATCAGCTGAAAATTATCACTATCATCTGCATCTGCAGTTATGACAATTGAAGAGATGACAAGGTAAAAACCACATGTATTTGAAGTTAATTGACCCTAGACAAATTTGTCTTCTGTCAGTACAGTAGGAACCCTCTTGATTGGGACCTTTAATTGTTTGGTTAATCCAAAAAGTCACTAAATCAGGAATCATAAAAAATAAATAGCCCTGGCTGGTGTGGCTCAGTTAGTTGGAATGTCATCCTGTGCCTGAATGGTCACAGGTTTGACTCCTGGAAGAGTATGTACTAAAGTGTTAATAGTGGTGATCCGAACAGTGACTTTTCCTTTGAGCATTCCTGTGTTTTAAAATATCTACAGTGAACATTTATTAGTTTCATTACCACAGGAAAAAAAATCAATTTTAAAGATAAAGATACAATTACTATAAGCATTGGAGATGTGTATGTGTGTGTATGTATGTGTGTGTGTGTGTGTGTGTGTGTGTGTATATATATATATATCTTTCCAAATTTATTGTGTGTGTGTGTGTGTGTGTGTATATATATATATATATATATATATATATATATATATATATTTCCAAATTTATTGTATACCTTCCAGTTGTATTAGTCTTCCAGGGTTGCCATAACAAAATGCCACCCACTGGGCAGCTTAAACAATAACTTATTTTCTCACAGTTCTGAAGTCATAAAACTCTAGGTGTCATCCGGTTAGGTTTCCCCAGAGACCTCGCCTTGGCTTGTAGACAGCCCACCTTCTCACTGTACCCTTACATGGTCTTTCCTCTCTGCCTGTGCATCCCTGGTGACTCTTCTTTTTATAAGGACACCAGTCATGTTGGATTAAGGCCCCCACCCCTGATTTTATTCACCCTTAATTATCTCTTCAAATGCCACACCTCCAAATACAGTTGCACTGGGGATTAAGGTTTCAACATTTGGAAGCAGACACAATTCGGTCCTTAACACCACCAACTGCTAGCTACCCTAAAACAAGAATTTCCAACTCTGATTCGCACATGGAATTAAATTCAATGTGGAGAGACTTTAACAGCAAATATGTGAGAGGAAGAAAATTTTCTGTACCCTTATAGGTTCTTGCAGCAGTTTTAATCAAATCAACATGAAACAGACAAGAGAAGATAATCAAATTTAATCACATGTGTACATATGAGAACTCCACATACATGAGAGGTTCAGAGATAGGAAGTTAAAATGAGGCATATATGACATTCTGAGCTAAGGTTGAGGAGTAAGGGAAGGCCATGGAGGCTTCAGAGGGAGAGAAGTCTTTGCAGGATGAAAAGAAAATCAGATGTTCAGTGCTTTGACATTTGTTCTGCCCAATTATAGAAAGGTCATAAAAAGTTATTTCTTTCCACGATGTGTACAGCGATGACTGACATTTCTTTGTCAAAAATGTCTTAAATAAAGTGGGAGAACATATGCAAGGTTTCTGATTGCAGAATTAAGTGGAGATGGTAAAGATTGGTAACTGACCCAAGAAGGCTTGTAACAACACTTTCTGGGAACTTTGTGGCTTTTCTCCTTTGTTATTAATATTAATTTCTATATTAATTCTAACAAAATTAAATAGCCTGTCAAAGATTTTTAAGATATTCTTTGTGTTTACTTTGTAGATCTATCTGTTTACTTGAAACATTAAAACGGTGAGAAATATATTTAAAAACAAAACACCAAAAATGTTTCTCTGATGATAATTCTTATTATGGGCAAGGCCCCAAATATAATTCCTTAAGGGAGAGATAAAAGTTTCCCATGAGCCTTAGGGTCTCAATTGCCCTCAGCTCAAAATAATACATTTCGGAAGTGGCGCATCTTGGCCAGGCCTATTCTGAACTCAAGGTCATTGGAAAGTTAACAACAGTTACATGGGTAATTTAAGGAGTAAGGGGGGAAAGGGGCTGTATTGCCTAAATAAGTACTTGATTTTTCTTGATCCATTTTACATTTGCTTTCTCCATGTGCTGTAATTATAGAAACCTGTTATTTTCTAGTGTTAGATGTATCTGCAGCATGAACCACTCTGCTGCACGTTAGATTACGTTAGTTAGTGCTAGGGCCCAACCCCATTTACAAGGTATCTGATGAAAGGTGAGATGTGGCAGTTCCACTATAATGCCATTTTTCTCCAAAGAGATCCATTTAAGTGGCTGTCCATGTCCCAGTAGTTTAACCTGAAATTAAAACACACACACACAGGTGTCTCCAGGTGTATCTGTGACTTGCGCACTTTATTGAGAAGGGTGGTTGATATTCCTTAAAAGCATTGTAGACAGAAGATTCATTTTTTACTTTTATTTAGTAGTTCACAAACTATAATTAAAAATTAGATTTCAACTCCATCTTCTTTTTGGCCTGATCAACCATAAGCATTAGAAATGAAATATGAAAATATGCTGCAAGGAGAAGCATATGGACAATTCACCTCCAAGAAAATTGTTGATTTCTTTAAAATAAGCTATAAAATATATCAAAATGAACTCAATACCAAACTTAGTGGTTATAACTATTAGATTAACCTTTAACTTTCTCCAAAGTATTTTATGAACTTAATATAGTAGGGCTAAGACTTCTTTCTTTTATTCTAATGTGATCTGGGTGATGTCAGGGGAAGAATACAAATTCCAGTTCTATGAAAAGAATCATTTTGGATGCATACGGCGAACTAAACAACATAAAATGACTGTGAAGAAGAAGATTTTACCTTGATGTGAATGGAGATGATATACCTGCTTTATAAGTTTAGTTTTCTTGGAAATGGAAAAAATGTTTCAAAGGTTCTGGCCAAATATTGCCATTAATGAAGCTTATTTTAAAATTACTCTTATGGTTAAATCAGAAGAGCACATATAAGGATCTCCTTAAAGTTAAAGGCTATCTTTTTATCAGGATATTCTAGTCAACAATTTAAAGGAACAATAAAGATAAAATTCCCTCTTACCTCTGTTGATCCCAGAGTAGCTTTGGGTTGGCCAAGAAACAGCTGTCCTGATGTGGGCCATTTGAGAAACATGGCATAGACCAAGTTTTCTTTAGGTTTTGATGTGTACCTGGTTAAAAGGAGAGGAAAGCATAGTAATATTTTTCATTATTTATAGGTCAGGTCTGAATTATTTACAGAGATACTTCCATTTGGTAAGTACAATATTTACCAGAGGGAAGTAACTCTCACAGTGAGGCGGGGAGAGCAGGACCGCCTCAGGTAGGTGACAATGGTAGGAGCCAGATATGGGGCTTTATAGGCCTTGTCCAATGCCTTGGCTTTTTATCTTTATTTATTTTTTTAAAGATACGTTTTTATTTATTTTAGAGAGAGGAAGGGAATGGGAGGGAAAGATGGAAACATCAATGAATTAAGTGGAGATGGTAAAGATTGAGAGAGAATCATTGATTGACTGCCTCCTGCATACCGCCTACTGGGGATTGAGCCTGCAACCCAGGCATGTGCCAGGCATGTGCTCTGACCGGCAATCGAACCATGACCTCCTGGTTCATGGTTCATGGCTCAAACACTGAGCCACACTGGCCAGGCTTATCTTTACTTATTTAAAGAAAATTTGATGGAATAACTGTTAATGATTGTGAAGTCCCAGATCATGGTCAAATATGAGTACAGAAAAAAATTCCACAACCAGATTTAAACTGGTTCTGTGAAATGAAGGCTCGGTACTGAGTTCTCATTATGGCTTCTCACAGACCCAAAGTTCTAAAATTCTACAACCAGGTGCTTCTGTCTGCATTGCCTTAGTTTATTTTCTTCAGTGAGCTTACAATTTTTTAAATCACAATTTAAGTGAAATCCAAGAACAGTTAGTCTAATCTTTTAATTTATATTTGATCAGCTATACTCACTTTGGTAGCAACACAAGGTGAATTTTTAGAGCTCTACTAATACCACTCTTATGTATATATAAAATCCCACATTAGAAACCATCACATATGCAGATTCTGATTCATGTTCTCATTGGCCCACAGAACCTTCCAAATCTCAGATAGGAACCTGGGGCAAGGCTTTCAAAGAAAAATACAGTAAAAAGGAAAATTATTAAGTTAAAATAACTAAGTTTAAAGAAACTTAAGGTTTAGATTTACTTGGATACTATGAACAATTATTTTAATCAACTTAGCTAGTGCTATTATTGGAGCTGATTTTTAATATTTTGTCATGCCCTTTGGCACTTCTTGCTTGCTAATTTGATGTGATATGACATCTGCAAGTGTTAGAATTTACTTAACTGACTAAACAGAAGTCTCTCTTTTGGATTAACTATTCAAGGTTTTTCAATTTTCTAAATGGCTTATAATTTTTTTCTAAGAGTTAAGTACTTTTCACCAAAATTTGTCCACTATTAGGAGATATCTAGAGATAATTTGAGCTCAATTTGCTAAACAGTAAGTGTTCAAAAACATGCTTCCCCTTCCTTCTCTTCGTAGAAAATAAAGTTTAGAAAGTGTTTTGTATAGAAAGGCATTCATCCGATTTCCTTTTTTATACTATTTTTCTCTTTATATCTCTGAGAAAATTTAAGTGCCTTCTTCTATCAGATAGCACTGGTAATAAAAATAACTTACCACACATCTGGGGTGACAGTATCATTCTGGAATCTCCAAGCGTTGGTTTCATAAATGGCTTCTCCATTGACTTTTAGCCAGGTCCCCATTTGCCTTAATCGCTCCTCAAAAATTGGAGAAATGGTGCCATCCTTAGTTGGCCCAATATTCATCAAAAAATTTCCTCCACATGAAACTGTTTCTACAAGTTGCTAAAAAAAAAAATAATTAAGAATACGTATAGTTTTTAGAGAGATAAAGCAATTCCATCACAAATGTATTAATATGTTGTATTTATGGGTTTACATAGGAGTATTTAATCACTATCTAGGAGAACAAGCATGGAAGACAGAACAGTGCCCTGTATGTATAAGCCACGGAGCTATACAAACAAAAAAAATGATTCTCACACACCCACACTATTAAGAATATTACCATAATTACTAGACATTTCACTGTACCTTTACCAATTCTTCAATTGTAAGATAGTCATGGATTCCTGCATTCCTCCTATAGCCCCAGGAAAGCTTGTCTATTGTCATGCAGTTTTCCCATTTGTGTGGCAGAAGATGTCCTGGGTTATACCGGTCACTGCAGGTATAGTAACCACCATGCTTACAGATGCTACCAGCTGCCCAGCGGTCATTGGTGACTACTGTGTCCCGAACTGGGCTGGAATGAAAAACATACTTTTTAAAAACAAAAAGTAAAAATTTTCAACGCAAGAAGAAATGTCACTGAAAAGAGGTCTGACTGAAATCCACTCCTAAAAATGCACTCTAGTGTAATAAATATAAAGCTCATGGTTTTGAAGTCAAAGGGACCTGGGCTGACTGCAGTCCTGTCTCTGTCACTTTCTAAGCTTCCTATCCTACATCAAGGTACCTAATTCCTCTGAGTAAACAAGTTCTTCAGCTCTCATTAGAATAGAAAAATTTATATAAAACACCTACTCCAGTGCCCAGCAAATACATCACAAGAATGTTATACTACTTTTTGACGCTTACCCCCCAATATTGTGAATGATACCCAAAACTGAATTCACAATGAAGACATTCTTCTCACAACTGACTGAATCATCTCATCTCTTTCCCATACAATCGTGCCTAATAATACTGAAACATTTCAAGCAAGTCAACTTGCAATCATGAAATTCACTGTAGTATGGTACAAAATACCCTAAAATATTGTTTCTCATAAGATTCACAAATTGAAGAGGATGGCTCCCAGTCTTTCCCATTGGAAGGGGTACCTGATGAAACTGCTGTTCTAAATAGCAAGGCCTATCCAGAGAATTTGTATGTTGGCCCTTTGTGGGCCCAGGGAACAAAACAGAACACTCCCTGTCTTCATAACACAGTACCAAGTACCTTCTGGTTACAAATATAAATTTGTTCCATCTAGTTTAAGCCTAATAGCAGAACTTGGTCAGAACTCCCTGTGCCAATGGGACAGGCTAGAAGATGCTAGAAAGCAATGGGAAAGAACAGGAAGAGGTGAGAACAATGAAGGGAAAAGGGAGACAGACAAGGGTAAACCAGAAACAGTCCTGGGTAAACAGAGTTGTCCCAGAACAGGAGATGAAAAAGGGGACCCACAAAATTAATGTCTTCAAAATTATGCATTCTGTGATTTTTTGGTCTGTCTTCAAAATCAGACTTTTAATTGCATTTGACTCCTGATTTGTAACTCTTGATTTGTAATTCTTGATTATTTTGAGTAAATATTGATATATCTAATAAGAATTATTTATAATGATTTCCTTCCCCATACCATACCAGTACATGAGCCTGAAAGGAAATATTTCAAGAAGCAAGGGAATGAAATGTTATGCATGTATCAGGAACATTTAAGGTCGCTACAGCAGTCCAACAGCATACACACCTTTCATTGTACAGCCAAGCTAAGAAACCTGTGCTGTTCCAGTAGTAATTGGGTGCTCCTCCATCGCCATCTGCCCACAGGACCTCCGGCCGGTACTTGTTCACCAACTCGTAGAGTTCGGGCTGCATCTTAGAAACTGGAAACTGTTGCTTCTGGAAGAAGCTGGATTTATCATCAAGGAAGAGTGGATGAAACCACTCAAAAAGGGAATAGTAGAGTCCAAAACGCAGGTCAGTCCGGCTCCGAATGGCGTCCTCCAGTTCCTTGACGATGTCCCTCTTGGGCCCCTCATCTACAGCATTCCAGTTCCACGAGTGCTGGGAGCCCCACAAAGTGAAGCCTGCACAATTAGGTTAACAACCTGTGTCAGTAGGTCCACTTTATTTTAGGTAAATCTCTACCTATGCAATGCAAAAACATATCTGGTCATGCATATGGCATATAAATAACTGCTTCTACAAACAACTGTTATGGCAATTTTTTTCATGATATATATCCTGCTTTTATATGAGCAACAAATGAGAATTTAAACAAGGTAAACTGAGGTTTTTAAAAATAACTCTCACCTGGCTGGCGTGGCTCAGAGGTTGAGCCTTGACCTATAAAACAGGAAGTCACGGTTCGATTCCCAGTCAAGGTCTCATGCTTGGATTGTGGGCTCCATCCCCAGTATGGGGCATGCAAAAGGCAGCTGATCAATAATTCTCTCTCATCATTGATGTTTCTATCTCTATCCCTCCCCCTCTCCCTTCCTCTCTGAAATCAATAAAAACATTATTTAAAAAAAACAAAAAAATAAATAAAAGTAACTCTCAGGGTACTGACAAGATATGTAGAGTCTAATCTGTCTTCTGTGTTTTCCCTCGTAGAATATATGCTCCTTGAGGAAAGGCACCATGTCTGCCCTGTTCCCTGTTATAGTCCCTGCCAGCTGAAGCACTGGGTCTAACACGACATCAGCAATCAACATTAGGAGCTAAGATTAAAGTAGATTCCCCAGTTTTAGGGTTATTTTATTATGGTGTGATTCTTAGAACGCTGGTGATCCTTGTGTAGCAGTAAATCTTTTCACGAGGGGGTGGAGTGGGGGTGAGTAGGACTCTAGTCTGTGCTTTAAAATACTCCACCCACCATTTGTATTCTCATCCTACTCTAAAGTCGTTAGTTTAGATGTTGCTTCTTAATTTACCTACAAGTGAAGTATCTACCAAATAGGTCCTTCCATGCTGTCTGGAAGGTGCAGTGTGGATATGTTAAACCCTGATTCAGAATGTTTCAACTTGTCAGGCCCTAAGGTCAAGCAATGCTGAAACCACATGGGTCTCCAGCTCAGTGTCACCACTGTACGCTCACACAGTGATCTTCCTGCTTGACAAGCCCAGCAGGATCTGTTCCATGAGCAATGAAAATATCTGACAGCATGAGTCCTAAAAAGTTTAGAAATGTGAGCTTCATCATCTGTCCTCACAGTATGACTAAGAGGGGTTTTGTCTGTTGGTTTAATAAGCTCACTATGCAACACCTTGTCCTTACAGGTCGGAGAAGTTCTAAGAGCAAGAAATCAACACATTCACAAGCAAATACACATCATAAATATTCATCCAATGGGAAAAAATCATTAAGCCACTAGAATTCGGGCAAAGAGGAAAATATTCTAAGATAATTCCAGATTTGTGGTTTTAGTTCTTCCCTCCTTCTCCCCTCCCACCCCTGAAGGAAGCATTGGGACAAGATTTCTTATACCAAGGCAAAGATGATCTTACAGAGGAAATTGCCAAGTGAATTAACATTAAGTTGGAACAATAACAATTTATTGATGCTTCCTTGGTCTTATAAATACTTGAATGTTGAATGATAAGGTATTAATATTTCCGCATAAAATTTACATCTGAATAGATAAACTGAGGAATAAAGCAGATTTCCCTCCAATGTTGTGGGCCTCATCCAATCTGTTGAAGGCCTAAATAGAATAAACAACTGAGTTAGAATTCTTTGTCTGCTTATTTTTTCTTTTCTTTTTTTTTAATATATTTTATTGATTTTTCACAGAGAGGAAGAGAGAGGGATAGAGAGTTAGAAACATCGATGAGAGAGAATCATCGATCAGTTGCCTCTGCACACCCCCTACTGGAGATGTGCCCGCAACCATGGTACATGCCCTTAACCGGAATCGAATCCGGGACCCTTCAGTCCACAGGCCGACGCTCTATCCACTGAGCCAAACCGGTTTCGGCTCTGCTTGTCTTTGAGCTGAGATATTGGACTTCTCCACCCTTGGACCCAGCTTGAAAAAGAACCTACATCATTAACTCTCCTGGTTTTCAAAGCCTTCAGACTCAGGCTGGAAATACACCATCAGCTCCTGGGTCTGGACCACCCAGCCTCCATAACTGTGTGAGTCAATTTCTTATAATAAATCTTTCTATATCTATTATACTTCCTATTGGTTCTGTTTCTCCGGAAAACCCTGACTAATACACCACTGTGTTTCTTTGAGATATTCTTCCATTTCTGATATTTCTGGGCACCATTATAGTTCCATAATCCTTTTTCTTTCAGGTAATCTGTGTCATTTTCATCAAAGGCAAATTGTCCACCATTTGGTCATGTAAGAGTTGGCCAAAAGCACAGCCGTGTGTGTCAATAATGACACAAGTCTACAGCGGCCTTACCCCCAGAATGCATTACAGAGGTGAAATGAAAGGAAAGAGCAGAATTCCAATTATAAACTTTGACCTGCAACCCACATCTCATTTCAAATAGTTTTAATCAAATTTTGGAAATATTGCTAAATATGCCTATAACAAAAATGTGATCTCCTCCCCCCACCTTCCTCCGTTATGTGGAGGGTATGATCTTTCAGCATGCCTAACTCTTAATTGGTGGGACATTCGGTTATCCTGACCCGCAGGACAACAACGGGGGCACACAGGAACCATCTAAGAGAATGAGGCAAACAAGGAACTCGAAAGAATGGAGGCAAGACAAGGTTCTGATCAAGCCTCGAACTTTTATTCTCTGAAATGGCTGTATTTATACAGCAGAAACAAAGTGGGGCAGGGTTGCTTATGCAGAGGGGTCTTTGTATAACATTCCAAGGTGCAACATTCCAAGGCTGGGCTATCTAGGGGGGAGGATCAGGAAGGGGAAGAGGCAGGAAGACAGGAAGATGCTAAGCCCCAGGTTAATCTTATCTTCTGGCCAAGCCCTCAGGGCACCGCATAACTTCTGCTAGAAGGAACTTAATTCTATTTCCTTAAGACTGAGTTGCGTGTCCCAACTCTGATGGCTCCCAACAATGCGGTCCCTTAAGTTATAAGCAAATGTCAGGAACCACTTATGGTTGATCCCAAGAGAATACTCTGGTTTTGTGTAGATTACCTTGCTTTAGTTTCTGCTTCCAAATGAACTACTTTACATTTCATAACCACCGGCCTTTGCAAATGTTGCAGTTACTTACCCTCATGATGTTTGGAAGTTAAGACAACATATTTGGCACCAGAAGCCTGAAAAATATCTGCCCACTGGTTGGCATCAAAAAACTTTGCTGTAAATAGTGGTCCAAAATCTTCATATTTGAAATCAGGGGGGTAATTATTTTTCATAAAGTCCACATATGTTTTTCTTTTTTCCTTTTGCCAATACCACCTAAAAAGATGAACAGGAACAATACATAAAACATATAAACATTTGAAATGACCAGGCCAGCTCCTTTTACTAATTCTCCTTCACTCAAATATTACCCAGATTCACTTGTTCACTTCCCTACTAGTTTGACATTTCCTTAAAGAACGTTTATGTACCAGTAAACCAAAATTTCCCTCATTTTTCATCTATCCCTCTGTGAAGTCTGCTCAACTCATAAACTAGAACATTTAGACAACCCAACCATGCACTTGCTATTAATCTCCACTTTTAAATAGCAACATGTACAGTAGTATATATCTTTGTAACGTGAGGAAAGCTTCAAAGGGCAAACCAAGTGCCTAAAACATAACATGGATCTCTTTTATTCACTAGCAGAGAACAAGTGAGGGAGTAGGCAACAGTAAAATTAAGAAGATGCTGCTATTTTCATCTATTGACTCAATTTTCAAGGGTTCCTTGTTATCTGCATTTATTCTGAGCAATGGGGCCTAAACTTCCTAAGCAAGGCTTCATGAGAAAAACTGTCTCAAAAACAATTTTACATTCTAGACAGATGTAACAGTAACTGTCCTTATGAAACATTCTCAAGCCCCATCTCTGACCCATCTTCACTTTTCCCACCACCACCAGTCAGATACATAATTTTCCAGCTTCCACTGCAGCTTGGACATGAACACATGAGCCATGCTAGTCAATGGAATGTAAGGGGATGCCAACTTGGAAGATTCTGGGAAATTAATAATAAGAAAAACTGGCCTTCCTGCCTTTGAACAAGGTTATGTCAAGTTATGGCCAGCTACCATCATGAAACCATGAAGGAACAAGTCAAGAGGCTGAGGATAACAGAAAGTGTCAGTCTTTGACTTCATCAATGAGCCAACTACTTCCAACAAGCCCCTGCTATCTCACATTTTATTTGGGTTTTCTATGCCTTGTAGTGAAAGTATCCTAATTGATCCACAACACATTTGTACCTTTTAGACTGAACTACAGAAGAAAAACGGGGACACTCAGAAAGTTGAACAAGGATAAGGATTTCTCCTATTTCCTCCTAGTACAGTCTAATTTGAACCAGCATTCTCTATATTGTCTAGAGAATTTCAAATTTCATCCACACAGACAAGAAAAGAGGCACTTGAACATTCTATCATTTATATTTGGTTTTGCATAGCCTATAAGGACAGCCAGATATATCATTGGTACTGTTGACTGCCCATAAGTCAAACCTTTAAAGCCAGACAGTAACTGCAGTCACCGGAGGAAAAGTCAATGCTTACCCAGGCCGAACAGAAAGCTTACACAACGAATCAGACGTTTCACACCCGGAAATTCTAACGCAGATATCCCACTGGGAGACGAAACCGCAAGCGGCGGCTGGAGGCCGGGGACAGACAGAAAGAGGGCCCGAGGAGACACGAGGGAGGCGCACTCACCAGAACCATTCGCTGCCGAAGCTGGGCACGGAGAACACGCCCCAGTGGATGAAGACGCCGAACTTGGCCTGGTCGAACCAGGCGGGCAGCGGCCGGGCGTCCAGGGACTCCCAGGTGGGGTCGAAGCGCGGGGCGCCGCGGGCGGGAAGGGGCGCGGGCAGCAGCAGCAGCAGCAGCAGCAGCAGCAGCAGGCGGAACGCGAGCCCCACGCCCACCCGCACCCCCATCTCAGGCAGAGCCAGGGCCGGCCTGTTGCCTCTGCTGCGTCCCTCCCGCTCGCCCCCCGGCCTCCCCTAGCGCCGGCTGAGCAGGCTCCGCCTCCTGTCACCTGACCCAACTGTCCGGGAGCCTTGTCGCCCCGCTGGGTCCGGACCGTGGTGGTGGCTGCGGGCGCTGGGGCGGGCGAGGACTGCACTGCTCCCTGGCTCAACCTGGGAGCTTCACCCCCACGCCAGCCCGCCCTGTGCCTGCCGAGATAAGGCTCCCCTCCCGATCAGTCTATCCGTGTTGGGGGCGAGAATGAATCGGGTTTGGGGACTCTATGGAAGGAACTCTCCTCCAGCTGCAAGACGATTACAGAAAACTCCCTGGTGGGCGAGGGGACCGACACGCCAGGAATCATGCTTAGCTCCGGGAGCCTGGGTCTGCACCCGGTGACACTCCAACACTTTCATTCAGGGCGGGGGGCCTCGGGATGTGCATTTCACACCAAGCGCTGGTTGCCCTGCTGGTTCCGGCGCCAGCTTCTGAGCGGAAAGGCGTCAGAAACCCAGGCGGACGAAGGCGGTGGTGACAGGTAGAGGCATCTGTTAGTGGCACAGCTCACAGATGCCCTGGGGTGCTACCTGACAGCCCCCTGAGCCCGCCTCGATTCTTGTCTTCTCCTGTAAATGAATGTATACAACAGGCCCTGATTGCGTTGTGATGAAGCCAATTTTATTAAGGCAATTAATGCATGTACCTTTATTGAGGAAGCAAGGCAAGCAAATCTACACATCTGGCTTATGAAGCACAGACGAGCTCTCAGCTCATCAGAAGAGTGAGTTGGGTGGGGGTTAGAGATGTTATGTACCCTCCCGTCTATAGAATTCCTCTGCTGACTGTTTTGGTACAGATTAATTCCTTTTATTTTGTTGTGGCCTTCCCAAATTTCATGAGAAGCACTTGGCAATTTTTTCCTGCCAAGTATCAAGACAGCTGCCTTCTCTGCATAGGGAGTAAGATTGCCCTTTTTTCACTTTCCCCTCCCCCGCCTCCTTTCCTGCATTCTCCTGTTTGGGAGGCTTTTAACCATTTGCTCTGGAGTGTCTTGGCTGGGAAGATAATGGCTTGTTATTTACAAGCTGGCTGCAAATTGCCCACACTGTTTGGCCTTGCTTTAACGTTCCAGTCTCAGTTTCCCTATCCTACCTGCCCTGGAATTTTCCTAGCTCCTTACTGGCCTGTAACAAGACCAGTGGGGTTGAAATAGGAATTTTTATGGGTGAAATAGACAGCTTTATGGGATTTTTTAAAATTAAGGGGTCAAAAAATTAAAGTAAAGTAAATTTAAGGGATCCATGGAAAAAACACCTGACTACAGAATTACAAAAGGGTACATTTCCATAAGATAAGGGAAAGGCAGAAGTTAAGGGAACTGGGAGTAACCCTTGGTCTATATTTACAAAATAAAGGAGGGCCTCATACCTCTCTTGTAAGGTTTGACCTTTGAGCTCAGGAGTTGCTATAGTGACCAAATCAAAGGGGAATGATGGCAAATCGGAGGGGATATCAAGGCACAGAAACTGCAGCCTTTATAAACCTGGGACAAAAGAACTCGGTGGGACTCTTTCCCCCTCCCCAAGTGGGGATCTGTACTTGTTCTTCAATAAATGTCCACCTTTGTATACCATCTTCCGTCCATGGCTTTCCCTGGGGAAGCCATCCCGCCCAGGGGAATACAACGTGTTCCAGTCCAAAAGACCCATGTCAGGGTCAATGTTGAAGAAATCCGCAGGCTTGGGAAAAGAAGCCACACATGGAATGACCCATTAGGGACATCGTCTCCTCTTCTTATGCTTTCAGAGTAAAGCCAGAACCCCTCCCCCTTCTGCTCCTGCAAAGCATCTCTCTCTCCTTCATGGACCAGTTCAGGGTCACCTCCTCCCAGCTTTCTGTCAACACCTTCCCTGCCAGACAGTTTACTCCCTGCTGTGAGTTCCCATTAACACCCATTGCCAACCTCTAGCAGAGCATCCAAAAGTTGCCTTGTAGTTTGAAGGGCACAGCTCTCACTTCACCTCAGGCTGTGAGCTTCCCGAGGACGGGGGTAGTGACCTTCCTTTCTGCAGCCGCTGCATTTAAAGCAGAGGGCGGCACTCAAGGCCTGTTGATGGAAGCCCTTCCGTGAGTCAGAACCGGGGTTTGAGGATGAGGTCCTGTGAAAGAGCACAGAAGATGAGGACTTACAGGAACTTTCACATCATAATTTGTGGCCCACCTTTTGGATATGTGCAGTCTGAAATCTGAGTGTACTTCATAGCACATAACTCTGCACCTTGGACTTGGAAACTGCCTACAGAACCAGCGCCTCTCTGTGCTGACGGATTTCAGTTGGTAAGTCACCCAAAGCTTTCATTCTACAACCCTGAACCAGAACTGGGACTTGACAGATGACTGATAATGTTACCCATTGTTCTCCTCTCACAGCCCCACTTGCTGGCCACTGAGCCAGCTGGCCACCAATTAGAAAACAAATAAGGTGAGTCTGTGGTTTTGTTTCCCTTAGCAACCCATCTCTTTGCTACAAGTTATACCTTAAAAAAACAAACAAAAATGAACTGTTCTCCCCCTCCACCTCGGCACATGTCTTCAGTTCATACTGTGGGCTAGTCCCTACATGGCAAATCATATATGGGTAAAACTCTCTTATTTCCTTTGGAATTTTTGCTGACAAAGGAAATGACACTAAGTAGCTGCTGCCACCGTCACCCCAGGTGTAAGGGCATTCACCTGCTTGGTGCAGTGTTAATGACTCCCCAGGACCACACCTGCACCTGAAGACCCCCAGTCTTCCCAGGTGGCGGATCTTCTGGGATAGAGGGGTCAGGGTAATCCACAGAACATGCACTACCAACGGCAAAAACCCCTGTGAGTGATAAAGGAGGTGATGAGTTTTGAAAATGAAACAGAGTGGGCTGGAGACCAGGATGCCAGGACAATGGCTTTATTGAAGAGAAGAGTACCACTGCCCGCTGTCTTCCGGAGAAAGAGAGCGAGGGCCGGGGTTCATGCAACTTTTAAGGGGAGGAAAGAGAGGGGATGGGGCTTAGGGCACTCAGCACACGCTGATTGGTGGTTTCATGTAAGGCCTAAGATTAGGGACCTAGGGAATTAGGAATGGGGGCTTAGGGTATTGGCAGGTGCTAACTGGTAATTCAGTGCTTAGGAATGTCCGGCTGCAGGTGAAGTTTACGTCATTCTCCATCCATCAGTTGAAGGAAGGGAGGATCTATCAAGTTTCATTATTTAGTCTTTGACCTTCGAATGACCTAGGACCTCAGTGGCACATTTCATCAAAACAGTGGACCTTTCAGTCACTGTGTCTTGACATCCCTTGAAACAGATGTTTGTGTAATAAGTGTAAACGGCATATTTCACAGCGATGATGAGGTTTTGAACTCTCAAAGGGACAGTAGACATGGCTAGGTGACTACTACAGGGAGAGGCCTGTCTTCTCATCAAATATTTGCCCATGTAAACCCCACATTTGAACAAACATATTTTTCAGTCAATAAATGATTTACGTGTCCATGTATTTTGGTTAATCAGTGCTAATCAGACCTGATCTGCTCAAATGCCACTTGGGTCATTTATCCTTTCACTTGAAGGCAATGAAATATTTTTACTCAGTAAGTACAACTTTATAAAATTACAACCAGGAAATCCTGGAAATAGATGAAAGCCCTTCCTTACTGCCCTGGAGGACACATCAGAATCCTAGAACACCACATGGGGAGCCATTGATACAGGATTTGGAATAAATAAGAAAGAGACTTATTTGGAAATAAAAATGGAGAAGAGAATCTGCTGCACATATACTTGTTAGATGACTAAAAGAATGAAAATCCATGACAAATTTTAAAACATGGTCACTTACAGAGCATGCCATAGATTGCACTGCATATTTTATCAGATAATGCAGCGGTTGCCAACCCTTCAGGCAGTGGTCCGCAGGCCACCGGTTGGTGCCGGCTGACTGATAATGCATTACAAACATACAGTTTTTGCACGTAAAGCTGCTGCTCAGTGAGCAACAGGCCCACACTGCACTGAGGCTTCCCCTCGGTGCTTAAAGGTTTTGATAAGAGGATCCAGATCCCTGAGAAAAGACAAATTCCCCAGGTGCACGTGGCTCTTTTTGGGGGGCCTTGGGCCTCATAGGGGAACTCTGCCAATGAGCCCTGATCCCATCCTGTGTGAAGTCACTGTGAGGCACTTTGTCTCAGTAGCAACAGGTGTTCCTCACTGTGAAGCCACCATGGTCGGCAGCCACATGCTGGGCAGTGGCAGGTAACGGTGCTTACCCTGGTTGCTGTTCCTGATCTAGGTCTCCCAGGCAGGGCACACTCTATATCTCCATGTGGGTCTTGGATGCCTGCCACCGCCAGCCTCAGCCAATCCCGGATTCCCCTCAAGCGGGCAGTGGGAGAAGTGAAACAGTTGCCTCACCAATGACGTCAACACAGTCACTCTCTGTAAATTCACAAGAACATCATTCAAATCAAACGGAGCACACTATGTCCTTTATATGGTAACTAGCCCGGTTTATGATAGAACAAGCAGATGACATGGGGGAAATAGCGCCCTCCCTTTCCTGGCCTGGGAAAGAGAAGGAGGATTAAGAAGGAGGCCGTGGGGCTCAGGGGAGGCAGGACCCACAGGCTGGCAGCCAGGCCTCCGGACCACCACACCAGCTCCTTCCCCTGCCACCGGGCTGTGCGATCCCTGGAGAGTCGCTCAGCATCGCTGGGCCTCGGTGTCTGCACCAATGGCATGTGAATGATAGTATTATATCTTCCCCTTAGAATTGCTGTGAAAATTAAATCATGCAAAGCACATATGAAGCCTCGTTGAAGTGAACTATGAAAGGAGGCTAAGGGACAGGCATCTTTGTCTGGGATCCCACTGAGGACCCCAGAGGAAGGTGCTGAGGCTGACTGGCAGACTTCAAGAGGTGAAGCTGTGTGGTCAGGTGAAGGGAGAGGCTGCCTTATAGCTTTCCCC